ACTCGGTTTACTTAGCTTAATGAACGTCTCTTTTGACTTCACTGATATATATGTTGTACGAGAGGAATATTTTACCTTTGTTTATTTATTATTATAGGAGTTTTGTTTTATACTTAATGACGAGTGTTGTAGTTTAGTCTAATTTGTTTGTTTCATTTTGTTGTTACTCTCTCTCTCTCTCTCTCTCTCTCTCTCTCTCTCTCTCTCTAGTGAAGACCTGACCTTAAAATGCATCCATAAATGAAAAACCCCAAAAATCCCTACAATACAGATATGAAAAAGGTGCGTTGGTCAGTGGCGGGAGGCCGGAGTAGAGTGCGTGTGTTAGGGGGGCAGGGCAGGATAGACGACCGGCACCGGATGTAAGCAAACCAAATTCAAGCACCACTTATCCCAGCCGGCTCCCCCCCCACCCCTCCTCCCCTCCATTATACACACACATACACTCGTTCGTTTACTCTCTCTCTCTCTCTCTCTCTCTCTCTCTCTCTCTCTCTCTCTCTCTCTCTCTCTCTTTGTATCTGCCTATCTATCTTTTTTACCTCCATTTAAATCACATTCACTCCCTCCAATTATTCCTCTCCCTTCCTCTCTCTTTATCCTCTCCCCTTCTTTCGCATTCTCTCTCTTTATATTTATCTTTTCTCTCCCTCTTTATTTCTTAACACAATTAATTACCAACACTGACGAAATTACTCTGAGGTATTTTGTACACCATGATGTATTAGGTTAGAGCAGATCGTCAGTATTGTTGTGAGCCTCTAGGCGGAACGCAGGGCACGACTCGATCTGCATTGCAAATCGAATTTACACAGGGGCCTGGTGCATGTTGGAGGGGCCTGGTGCATGTTGAAGGGGCCTGGTGTAGTGTTGAGGCCTGGTGTATGTTGGAGGGCCTGGTATATGTAGGAGGGCCTGGTGCATGTTGGAGGGGCCTGGTGTAGTGTAGGAGGGGCCTGGTGTACTGTAGGAGGGACCTGGTGTATGTTGAAAGACTCCCTCAACCATGCTGTGTAATACGTCATGTCAACAAGATACCCCTGCCCCCCGTCCTCAGGCGGCCAGTGAAAAAACCAAACCAAACCTAATCCTAACTCAATTAATATAGAGCCGACAGCCCTAAGTCCTGGTAGAGCCCCTCACCTCCCCACCACTACCCGAGCTCTATAAAGTCCACTTATAAGAAGCTAATAAGTCCGGTCATTAAAACGAATTTACCTGCATGAAAAATTTACCTTATTATTCTTTTTACTGTTTTTTAATGACTAGCCACCCTGACTGCTAGTAGATTCATGTATTGCTATTGATCATAAAACAACATCTTAGATCGCTATTGATGCGCCTCCACACACACACTACATAAGAGTCAACGAATCAATATGTAGATATGATGGTTCTTCACAAACAGGGAATTGTTGTTTATTCTGGGTAGTTAAGCCTTTACAAACAATACATTATGTATCGGCACGAAACAACATCATCAGAGGATTGTTTTGGGAAGAAGGGTAGGAAGGAAGGAAGGAAGGATGGAAGGAAGGAAGGAAGGAAGGAAGGAAGGAAGGAAGGAAGGAAGGAAGGAAGGGGAAAAATTGTGTCTGGCCCCGAACAGGTCCACTTGTCTGTGTTATGAGATGAGCTCCAGTGAATTTTGAATATGTGTTTGGGGAATGTTGTCTGGGAGAGGCAGTGTGTGTGTGTGTGTGTGTGTGTGTGTGTGTGTGTGTGTGTGTGTGTGTGTGTGTGTGTGTGTGTGTGTGTGTGTGTGTGTGTGTGTGTGTGTGTGTGTGTGTGTGTGTGTGTGTGTGTGTGTGTGTGTGTGTGTGTGTGTGTGTGTGTGTGTGTGTGTGTGTGTGTGTGTGTGTGTGTGTGTGTGTGTGTGTGTGTGTGTGTGTGTGTGTGTGTGTGTGTGAGTGTGTGTGTGTTAGGTTAGGTTAATATTGCCATCATCACTATAAATCTATATATTATAGCTCTTTATTGCCTCAGATAAAGCTCTTATACCTTACCATTACTCCACATATATTTATACAGACATTCAGACATAACCAATGGAGATATAGAAATGATATAGCCAATATAACTCAAGACATAAATAATATAATCCATTATCACTTGAGAAATATTTATATAACCCATTATCACTTGAGAAATATTTATATAACCCATTATCTCTCAAGCTAAACAATTTCCCCAGACCTTATACTTTAACATAAGACTTAGTATTAGGCGTCAGCATTTACATAACAATGAGAGAACTATGGATGGTCTTGGGGCAAATGGCTTCGTCCATGTTAGAGAGTCGTAAAATTCCAGGTTTTAAAAGTCTGTAAATTTTCACTAGTCGTGCATTCATTGTTGTTGAAGACAGCCAAGTTGCCACAACAGTATTGCTGGGGTGGGGGGAGGGAGGAGGGAAGGAGTGCTGTATATTTCATGTTTGGAGGCACTGTGAGGTTAATGTTTTTGTTGTTGTAGTTGTTGTTGTGTTTGTAGTTGTTGTTGTGTTTGTAGTTTTATTACGAGTTTTAGGAGTTTCCACTACCACCAGGGTTATTATCATTCACTAGGTATTATATTTAGGAGTTCCAACTGCTAAGATTATCAAGCGATGGATTCTTTTATAAATTTTTAATGTATTCATAAATTCATGTGTCTGAGAATGTAAACTACTGAACACATAAATTCAAATATGTATTCATAAATTTATATCATGTATTTATAAGGTTCAAAACTTATAATACATTCTATTCATTTATAATATATTCTTAAATTCATAATGTATTCATAAATTCATCATGTTTGTACTAATAATGTATTCATAGACTCATCAGAGAACCCTGGTGGAACATTGTGGAGGGTGAGTCAGAGAGAAGGGTAATTTTGTATTAGAATTGAGTTGGTTAGGTTAGGTTAGGTTATATTAGGTTATTTTACAGTTAGATCAGGTTAGGTTAGGTTATATTAAGTTATTTTACAGTTAGATCAGGTTAGGTTAGGTTATATTAAGTTATTTTACAGTTAGATCAGGTTAGGTTAGGTTATATTAAGTTATTTTACAGTTAGATCAGGTTAGGTTAGGTTATATTAAGTTATTTTACAGTTAGATCAGGTTAGGTTAGGTTATATTAAGTTATTTTACAGTTAGATCAGGTTAGGTTAGGTTATATTAAGTTATTTTACAGTTAGATCAGGTTAGGTTAGGTCTTAGGTCAGGTTAAGTCTCAGCTCCAGGTTGCAGATCGTTGAGGCCTTGAGTCCACAGTGTGAGTGAGTGGCTTGTGAGGCGAGGATAGATAGTGGCAGCGTGTGGATGGTGGCGGCGTGTGGATGGTGGCGGCGTGTGGATGGTGGCGGCGGGTGTTCCCTATGCAATTTATGCTTATGGGAGAAGAGAACACTTAAGAATAATGGGTCATACAATATCATAATACTCGGAGCAGGATTACCTAAACGACTGAGAGTGAGGGAAGGCAGCGAGGTCGGCACGAAACGCAGTGAAAAGGGGATGAAAATATATGATAAATGAGACAGTGTTCTTAACGGATGAGGGGACTGAAGGCTAGGGGCTGCGGAGAGGAAGGGGGGGGGGGCTACCTACCAAATATTGCCAGCCCTTTGCTTCATATATTGGAACGTTATATAAGCACACACCTCACGCACGAAACGTTGTGGAAAAGAATGAAGATATATGGTACACTAAATTGTTCTTGGTAGCGTTGAGGAAGCCTAAAGGATAAACCAGAAGTACGACAGGTAAACCATTTGAGGACGATGGTTTAAAGCCTTCGAAGGTGATGGTTTATTTATTTTGAGGACGATGGTTTAATTTTCATAAAGGGCTAGAGTAGATTTTACCTCTTAACTAAAAATACTGGAATAACATCGATATATCTTAGTTTAGCTGCAAAACACAAACACACACACACACACACGAAAAATACCCCCGTGAGCGTCTAGAGAGAGGATTGCCAATAACCCTCAGAGCGGCTCTTAAGGATAATTTTCCCCTGCTAATTGCCAGTGTAAGAATACCGCTAACACAGGCCAGAATGATCCCCGGACCCAGGCCAAGATGTGTACACTAAAGCCGAGGTTAAGTTAGGTTAGATAAGATAAGGTTAGGTTAGGTTAGATAAGGTTAATTTCAGTAAAGTTTGGTTACTTTAGGTTAGGTTAACAATCAATAACGTACCTAAGTCATGAGGAGCCTTAATAAACCTTACCTTATTGGTTAGGTTAGGTTAGGTTAGGACCCAGTAGGACAGAAGTCTATTACAACCTGTCTCGCATTTTAACTTGTAAACTGAGACAAAAATTAACGTCCGAACTTTGGTGAAAATCCCGACCGCCGGCATCTCAATCTCCCGCTGTGGAATTTTGCTCATTTTTAAGATTTTTCCCTCAAGCGTAGACGTCGGGTGAGAGCCAGGGACCTGTTCTCTCTCTCTCTCTGTCTCTCTGTCTCTCTCTCTCTCTCTCTCTCTCTCTCTCGTGTATATGTTTTTCTTTGATGTTTTTCTCCTTCCTTTCTTGATTTCCTTCCTCTCTCCCTTCCTTCCTTCCTTCCTTATTTCCTTTCCTTCCCTCCCTCCCCTTTTCTCTCCTTTCCTCCCTCCCTTCCTCCTCGACTTTTCCCCTCTCTCCCTTCCTCCCTGTTTTTGAATACAAGACTCCCTCCGTGTCTTACTACCTCCCCCCTTGCTCCCTTTCCTCCCTTCCTGCATTATTCTCTCCCTACATGACTCCTTCCTCCCATGTCTTCCTCCCGTCTTCCTCTCCCTCTTCCTACCAGACTCCATCTTTCCCTCTCTGTCTTTCTCTCTTCCCCTAACCTATTCTAGGACTTGCCTCTCCTAGGTATCTCCCTATACCACCCACCCACCTACCCTCCTACCTCTACCCTCCATCACACCTCTACCCCGACCCACCACCCCACCCACCCACCCCCCCACCCCCCACTCACTAACCCCAGGTGATCTGATCTCTCCTCCCTCCCCCAGGTGGCGGGAAGTACCCTGTGATGGTGTATATCCACGGGGAGAACTTCTCATGGGGCTCCGGCAACCTCTACGATGGCAGTATCCTCGCCGCCTATGGTCAGGTCACCGTAGTCACCCTTAACTACCGCCTGGGGCCATTAGGTGAGTGCTGGGGGCAGGTGAATACTGGAAGGCAGGTGAGTGCTGGGAGGCAGGTGAGTGCTGGGAGGCAGGTGAGTGCTGGGAGGCAGGTGAGTGCTGGGAGGCAGGTGAGTGCTGGGAGGCAGGTGAGTGCTGGGAGGCAGGTGAGTGCTGGGAGGCAGGTGAGTGCAGACTGACAGACAAACAGACAGATAGACAGACACGAAAGATGAAAAAAATACTATATAAACATATTGAAGTGAAATATAGAAGTAAAATTAATTAAGTTTTCCTCCCAATTAGGACGTGTCTCTGTAGGTGAAATATACAGGTGTGTAGATTTTATTTGGTGTCTGTCTGCCTTGTCCACACGAAATACTTTTACTCGTCAAAGCTAAAGTCAAATATATGTAAAAATGTTTGAGTAATTTATCTGCAACGTGGGATTTTTAGCACTGTAAGGAGCTGTGTCTGTTTAAGAGAGTTATAACGCACACATACACACACACACACACGCACACACACACACACACCCACACACACGTACGCTTCAAGAGACAAAATAGCTGGAGCTGAAACTTACAACAATTTAAGCAAGGAAGATATCAGGCATCACATAAACAAAGACATTTATCGAGTAAAGACAAAGAAATTACCTAAACTAAACATAACACCATAGAGATTAACAGACAAACAGACGTATCTTGTAAACAGATCAAAACTCCTCGAATTCCATGATAAAGAAGATGTGTCGTTTAGGAGAGAGAAGCCAGGGGGAAACAACGGAGCTTAAGAATATCAATATACAACACAACTGAGGCCATAAACCAAGGTAATGGTTTAACCCGGTCCCTGACATAGTAGTGAAGATCTCAGGTCAAGTTTTCATTAATCTACGACTTTTAAAGAAATTCTAACTATTTGGGTGATTTAATTCCCCCCCCCCCTTTTGTTTAGCTATATTTAAACCCTTTTGTTTATGGTTTAACTTTTTGGATAATTGTGTTTAACTTTTTGATAATTGTGGTTTAACTTTTGGATAATTGTGGTTTAACTTTTTGACGATTGTGGTTTAACTCCCTGATTACTATATATAAACCCTTTGAGAATTATGGGTTAAATCTTTGAGGAATATGGTTTAGCCTTTTTTTTTAGTAATTCCCTTTTCATTCTCTCTATCTCTCTTTTGTGTTTATATTCTCTTCCATTCGTCTGTCCCTTTGTCTATTTCTTTCTCTCAAACTTCTCGTCTTTTCTCCCGAGTTCCCATATATCTTTCAAACCTTTCTCTTCTCTCTCTCTCTTTATTGGTTTCTCTCCTCCCTCTCTCTCACTCTCGCTTTTCCTTTTCTCTATCTCTCTCGCCTAGTCTTTCTTTCTTTCTTTCTCTCTCTCAACATTCTTTCTCATCTGCATACCTTTCTATTCCTTTTCTAAATTCACCCTCACTTCCCCTCTCGCTTCTCCTCCCTTCTCCTTCCAACCTTTCCTCAACATTCCTCTTGCCCTCCCCTCTCCTCCCTAATCCCTCTCCCTCACCTCTCCCTTCGCATCCTCGCCCTTTCCCCTCACCTCTCCCCTCGCATACTCACCCTGTGCCCTCTCCTCCCCTCCCCCCACCTTCTCCCTCCCTCTCCTCCTCCCCCACCTTCTCCCCTCCTCCCCTCTGTTCAGACTCAATAATCAGATTACTTTCCGATAGTTTGACGCAGTATGTCTTCTTGTTTATCGTCCTCTTGTAGTCTCTTATTGGACTATTTTCATCGCCAGAGACAAAAAAGAGAAAAAAACTGAAATAAAGGGAATTTATTTATGTTATCTTGTGTAGTATTGAATTTTTAACCTTTTGACGTTTAATTTTGACTTTTTCGTGACTTTACTTTGTGATACTTTTTTATTAACTTTTTGATATTTTTTGTCAGCGGTGATAGTTTCTGCAGTATTAAATATTTTGCCTATACTTTTATTTACTTTTTTATGACTTTTTTTTTTATTTGTGTTTTGCCAGGATGATGTTATGTGAAATTACTTTTTTTTAGCTGGATATATTTCGTGTATATTTTTTACTTTATATTTCATGGTCTTGTATGCGGTATTAAACTATTCTGCTCTGTTAGGACTAATTTTTTTACTACACTCAACACAAACCATTTATATTCATGTTGCTGAAGGGAAATATTCTCATCGTGTTGCCAGTTGTGTTAAGGAATTACAATAAAAAAAAGAATTTGTATTTGCAAGTGTCTTTTATGTCGCTTAAATTATCATGATGAATCTTTTAAACTGTTTGAAAAAGTTGCTGCAGTTGACAGTAAAAAATATATTACTTTTTGTCTAAAACCTTTATTTCTAGGTATATTAAAAACGGTTTATATTGTTAACTTCTATACGGATTAGAATAAAACTTTCCACGTTCAGTTCTCCATCACCTCAAGAAATCACAACAGTTTACATTGATAGAATAAACATTTGTAGTATTTCCTTTCCTTACGTGGCAGAGAAATATATCGACTAACATTTATTCACCTGAACTCGCTCTTGTTTACTCTGAATAAATGGTCGCTTTGTATACGATCTTTTCCCTGGCATAAAGGGAAGTTATCGACTAAATATATTCTTCTTTACATGGAGAGAACACGCAAGCCTGAACCATGGACTCGGGGAAGCGAGAAATCCGGATTCCTCACTAAAACATAAACATAAAGAGAGGATTATGGGTAGTGACGTAGACTAATACTGTTATTGTTTTCCGAAATATTTTAACATCGACGTCATCAGTTCCGTTTCATTAAGTTCCCTTTTTAAAAGTTTATATGTACACGAGGTAAATATTTAGTGTTAATGTATTCAGTTGTGGTCGAAACTAATGCCCTTAGCTCACAGACGTGGTTATGTTAGGTTATGTTAGGTTTCCGATATTACTGTGTCTCTGGTCCCTTATCTGATACACTGTGGACGCCTCACTTAGCATGCATGAGCTGCCACACCACCACAAATGTCACCAGTAAGCCGCTGTCTCCAACCCATTGATCGCCAGACATTAATCTAGATTGGACACGTGACTCACCTCGCTGCCGCTCACCAGATTCATACACAGTGATATGTGACCGACTCATACCCTGACCTAAACTAGCCTAAACTAACTTAACCTGAACTAACGTAACCTAACTTCGTTTAACTTTAACTAACCTAACCTAATATAACCTGACTTATCCTGATCTAATATATCTCCACTTGCTGTTCCTCTCCGTCAGGTTTCCTCAACACGAGCCCCAACAGCAGCGGGAGCGGCGTGGTGGGGAACCAGGGACTGATGGACCAACTGGCGGCGCTCTCATGGGTCAACGAAAACATTGTCCACTTCGGGGGCGACCCCAGCAGGGTGACGCTCTTCGGCCACTCCTCCGGCGCCGCCTGCATCAACTACCTGATCGTCTCCCCCGTCGTGGTGCAAGGTGGGTGTTGGTCTGATGCTCTGAAGGACACTTAGTGTATATGATGGGCTGGCTGCCTTATTGACCTGGGTGAGGGAGTGGTGGAGGAGGACCTGGGAGAGGGAGTGGTAGAGCAGGACCTGGGAGAGGGAGTGGTAAAGCAGGACCTGGGTGAGGGAGTGGTGGAGGAGGACCTGGGAGAGGGAGTGGTGGAGGAGGACCTGGGAGAGGGAGTGATGGAGGAGGACCTGGGAGAGGGAGTGGTGGAGGAGGACCTGGGTGAGGGAGTGGTGGAGGAGGACCTAGGTGAGGGAGTGGTGGAGGAGGACCTGGGTGAGGGAGGGGTGGAGGAGGACCTAGGTGAGGGAGTGGTGGAGGAGGACCTGGGTGAGGGAGGGGTGGAGGTCCTCGTGGCCAGGCGGGGAAGACACTATCAAGGCGGTCATCTAGTTTATGGCATCATTGAATTTTAGATGATATTGAAATAATGGGCTGTGTCGTCCTATACCTTGGTTATTTTACTACACATACACATACACATACACACAAACACGCACACGCACACGCACACACTCACACACACGCACACATTATGTACGTATCGTAACGCACACTGACCATCACTACTGTTCTCTCTGCTTCAGGTTTGTTCCAGAGGGCGGTGCTTATGTCCGGGTCGGCCCTGAGTCCCTGGGCAGAGGTACAGGACGCCCTTTCTGTCACAGCTCGTCTGGCCAAGCACCTCAACTGTTCCCTGCCCTCCAACCTCAGCGACAGACACCCGGAGACGATGGCGTGTCTGCGGAACGTGTCTGCGCAGCGCCTGGTGACTGCTAACCTCCCACAGTACAAGTTTACCTCTCTGTTTGGTCCCAGCGTCGACGGGGTGGTGGTGCCCGAGGACTTCAAGACGCGACTCAATAGGGTAAGACCACCGGGCTCCTGTTATCACCACGAAGGACAACCCAGTGATAAGGTCCATAGAAAGTGGTGATAATGGGGTCCTTTATCCTTATCTATGCTGATATGAGTAAACGAATAACGAAAACATATCCTATCCTACACTTGACGAATACTGAAGGTTACTTATATAACGAAAGCTTCAGGAGTAATACTTTGAGAATATTCCACATATAACTTGTAAAAACAGGAGATACTAACACTAATAGTTCCTCTGAAGATCTATTATCATCATGTACTAGTAACCGAACTGAGTTGTGTGGTTATGGAGGGAGTTAATACGTTAATAAACAAGTGATGGATATAATGGAGCCAAGCATTACATAACTCGTATCTAGGTGAGGAGACAGGTAATTACGTGGGCTCCTGCACCACTAATTAATAACAAAGAATGACGAAACTAATACACTGGAAACCTCGATATAATGGGCTTTCCTTTCCATATAGTCTGTTAGATGGAGGTTTCACATCAAATGAACCCTCGATATAACGGACTTTTATCTCCATATAGTCCGTTAAATAGAGGATTCACTATAATTAACCTGTATTATTCCTCAGGTAAACAAAAACCTACTTAATTTTCCTAAGAAGTCAACCTCTCATACGATAGCCATTCTGTATACTTATTTTAGTCAAATAATTCGGATTTAATGGAAAAATTCATAGTTAAGAGACAAAACTTTATGTGATTTTAACTTCCATAAATGATTCTGTAAGGTTTTAGTTGTAGTTAGATATTAGATTATTTATTGACAATTTATCGAAACAAAAAAATAAATGACGAGGGAATTTTTCGTCCTGATGCAGATACACGAAGATAAAACCACTTGGGGCTAATTTACATAATTAATATTCACGACGCTATGAATATCATTTAAGAATTGAGAGAATTAATACTTTAATGTTATATAACCTTTAAGAAAATACACCACTGGGATTGTGTAATTTTGTTTTAGTTAATCTTATGTATTGGCTCCAAAAGGTATCTTAAACGAGACAAAAGGACATAAGGGACGAAGTATTTTGACAACCCTACGAGACAACAGGAGTCATAGTGTTCATTTTGAAATTCATTGATCACCACCGTAAAGATACCTTTTTGGTGTACACGAGAACACAACACTAACTCCACCATTAACGAATTGATCCATCGTTGAACCTTGAGATAAAAATGTTCCTTGTCTGCCCTGGTTCATTAAAATACAGGTTCAACTTTAGAGAACCATTTTGAGCCCAAGAAACTGTGAAAGAAAACCTCAGGGTGGAATTTAATCCTTTAATCTTATGTGAATATTAAAATCTTCGTCTCAAGATTCGTTATAGGACCATTAGACACCATTTCTTGCCAATCGAATTATCCCGAAATTTTAACAGTGATGACAATTTTTAAATCTTCTAAAATTAATAAAAAATACAAATTAAAAACTTCAAAATAAAATAGATATTAAAGAGTATTATCCATCTATTTATCAATTATCGCCTATTTCTCTTTTTATTCTGAGGGAAATAGATCAGGAATTACGAAATATCAATAAAAATGGAATAATGGAAGAATGTTGATGTAACACAAATGTAAACACGAGACACAGAAATAACACGACAGGAGAAGATTGCCTACACTTCATTGTCTTGTGTTTATGAATATTAAAGAAATCTATTGTCACAACCGTCATCCACAATACTTCATATAAATTCACTGTTTATATAGATGTACTGTTTATATACGTGTTTATATATGTATAATATATAAGAAATTTATAAGAAAAAGACAAGATATATAACACGGAAACTTTACAGGGAAAAGTATCACAAAATAAGTGAATTAATATTTTTCTCCAAAATGGAAATTTATGGCAAAAATATCTGGAAATAAAATCAATAAAATGTATTTTTTTCAAACGTTAGAAAATAACCAGAATATAAATTTCCAAGAGTAAGTGAAATACTATTGAAATATTATTTTCCCTAACAAAAACTATGTTATTTTATTTTCTGAAAATTCCTGCTTAAAAAAAATAAAAAGCATTAAAGTCAGACACGTGGACGTCAGATTTTCCCAGAGATTAACAGGCGAGCCGCGAGGTCACCTTCAACTAAATTATAATTAATAAGAAGACACACAGGTGACTCTACCTTTATCATAATAATAATAATTATAATAATCGGGGTTATATATATTATAGTAATACGTCATCATAATAAAAAGTTATACAAAAGTGTTTGACATAATGAGTGGAAACATTAAAAAGGCTGAGAGTTTCTACAACAGCGCAGCAAAGGTTGTCGTAAATATTTATTGTCACCGTGGGTCTGTATGCTGGTGTACCGGAAGGGGGAGGAGGAGAGGGAGGTGGGAGGGAGGGGGAGGTGATGGGGGAAGGGGGGAGGGGGAAGGATTGTGCTGTGAGGTGGTGGTGGAGGGTGCAAGAGGAGTAGAGGTAGAGGGGAGGGGAGGGGTGGAGGGAAGGGGTGGAGGGAAGGGGTGGAGGGAACGGATTTATAGGCTAGGGAGGTTGGAGGGGATGAGGTGTGGAGGGAAGAGAGGATGAAGGAGGGAAAAAGTAACGGCTTTGCTCTCTCTCTCTCTCTCTCTCTCTCTCTCTCTTTATCTCTACCTTTTCTGTCATTCTTTCTCTTAATATCCTTCTCTCTCTCTCACACACACATCACCTCCGTTATTTAATATACCTGGCGTAACATCATTAACTTTGGGTGATAATTACAGGTAAATCTTCACTACCTCAAACACCTTTTACTACAGTACCTTCAATTTAATATAAAACACAACCAAGGTGAAGGAGGAATGATAACCTAACCTAACCAAACCTAACCTAACCTAACCTAACCTAACCTAACCTAACCTGACCTGACCTGACCTAACCTAACCTAACCTGACCTGACCTGACCTCATTTAAATTCAGGTAACCATTCATAAAGTTCGCTGATTATATATACAGAGTTAGTGAGTGGAAAGGACTGGAGGAGGAAGAGGAGGAGGAGGGAAGAGGAAGAAGTAGGAGGGGATGGGAAGAAGAGGGAAGAAAAAGAGTGAGAAGGAGGAGGAAGAAGAAGAATAGGAAAACAAAGGGGGGGGGGGAGGAGAAGAGAAGTCGCTTTTCCACCTAAACAATAGTACACACTTGAGTGACTAAGGCGAACCCTGCCCTGAGAAAACAGACTTCAGGGTGTGTTTATATTTCACTGTCTTCTCTCCCTCATTACAAACTCCTCACTGTTTTAATTTCCTCCGAGAATTCTGACACACCTCCAGACCTATCCAACAAGAGAAAATAATAAACATATATTAAGGTTTAGTCATTTTCTGCTGCATTTGTCACGTTAGCCAGATGGATATGAGGAGACGCCATTGTCTACGATTTTTATTTTATTTACTTCTCATTATTTTTATCTCTATTTTACTTGTTTTTTTGTTGTTTATTCATATATGGTAATTGTTAGAATGTGTTAAGGGTATAATGCTGTATCTAGTGAGAGTTATAATGATGTGGGATGATGTAAGTATTATTAATTAACCTGCCGGGAACTTTGGGATTATCTTACAGTAATATGAAGAGATATGGACCTCATTTATCACCCCACACACACACATGTACGCTCTCTCACACACACACACACACACACACACACACACACACACACACACACCATTGAAGGCTTGTAATCTCAGCCTCGCACTAAAAGAAACGTTTCTCACCATCTCTGCCGTATAAGTGAGGGAAGGAGTCATCAGAGTGTGTGGAACTGCCCTTAAAAATGTTAGAGTAGAGTCATAACGCTTCCTATCATGGCCGCAGGGTCAGGGGTCAGGAAGCTGTTCTAGATACGATTTAACCCTTTGAGTCCTGGTGGGTTACATCATCGTTATTAAAGGGTTAAATTATCGTCCTTAAAGGGTTAAATTATAATTCTCAAAGGGTTAAATTATCGTTCTCAAAGGGTTACATCATCGTCCACAGAGGATTACATCATCATCGTTAAAGGGTTAAGTAAAAGGGTTAGTACGTGACTTTACGACCAGAAGTACTTAAAGTTACTGTAAGCTCTCAGGATTTTCTTCATCAGTGACAGTCATCAGTAGTAATTAAGTCTCCCTCCCTCCTTCCCTCCCTCCTTCCTCTTCTCTCAATCCCTCCGCTCTCTCCTCCCTTCTTCCCTCCTCTCCCATCCTTCCTTCCATTCCTTCCTCCCTCCCTCCCTCTTCTCTCTCCCCCACCTCCTCCACACATCACCTGTTCTTCTTCTGCCCGACAGGTGTTGGAGGGGAGACAACTTGACGTAATGTTCGGTGTGACAGAAGCCGACGGCTACCCTGAACTGAACCGCCAACAGGCTACTGAAGGTCTCGACGTACAGGAGAGGAACCGACTACTGAGGACCTACGTGAGGAACATCTACCACCACCACCTTCAGGAGATCTACCTGGCCATCACGAAGGAGTACACTGATTGGGGGAACCCGGCGCAACACCCAGTACAGGTGAGTATCTTTCAGGTAGCAATAATTGTGGGAATGTTTATACAGGTCACTATCACACACAGGTAAAGGAGGTCTAGTACAGGTGAAGGAGACCTCGTACAGGTAAGGGAGGTCTCTTACAGGTAAGGGAGGTCTCGTACTGGTAAGAGACCTAGAATATAAGAGAATTAGATAAAACAGAAATAATAAAATAAATCTCCTGAACGCTTTTGTTTGTCGAGATAAAATAGAAAACTGGAATGAATTTTCAGGTTACGAAATGTGTTTGTGTGTATGTATGCGCTCATGTTAGTGTATAGTGTGTGTGTGTGTGTGTGTGTGTGTGTGTGTAAACCGGCATATGGTAAAAGCTTTAGTGTAATTTAACAGTGTAGAAAATGCAAATATGATGACCATTCCTGTATCACAGTTCATCGCCCAACACAAATAAAAAGTGTAAATGTTTCACTGTTAATTTACCCAAAGTTCAACAAACAATATTAAAAAAAATACTTGGTAACAAAATAAGTGTTAGGCACTTTTCTACCCCCCTCCCCCCCCCCTTTTTCTACATCTCTCCACCCCCCACTCCCTCACTTTTCCACCCCTCATCTCTCCACCCCCACTCCCTCACTTTTCCACCTCATCTCCCCTCATTCCTCACCTCTCCACCACCTCCGTCACCCCTTCACCCTCTCACCTCCCCCCACCCCTCACTTCCCACCTCCCTCACCCCCTTCCCTAAATTATTCTCACATAAACTGAACACAACACATTAACACTGGAGCTGAAATTGCCTTTTGTCTCTAATTTGATATAAATGTGATTAACCTTACATAAACAACAAGAAGATAATATTAGTAACAAAAATAATGGCAATAAAAATAAATGTAATAATAATAATAATAATAATAATAATAATAATAATAATAATAATCTATTAATATAGTGGATGGGGTTATTTTAGTTGTAAGTATACGGCATAATGTGTTACGTGTTAATTGAGTAACTAACACCCCCAGAGAGACAGGTATGTGTTAATGAGACGCTAACACCTGGATCATCTCTTCCTGTAGGTGCGGGACCTGACGGTGGAGGCGCTAAGTGACGGCGGGTACCTGGCGCCCTTGGCTAGGTTTGGTGAGACTATCAGTGGGAAAGTTGATGCATTTATGTACGTCTTTAACCACCACGAGAAAGACAGACAGGTGAGATGGCCGATAGGTAAGGTAGAGAGAGAGAGAGAGAGAGAGAGAGAGAGAGAGAGAGAGAGAGAGAGAGAGAGGCGTACCTGGCAGATCATTAACACCTCATTTCGTCCAATTATCCCCTCTTACTTACCTGTATTTTTTCTCACTAATTAGAATCATTATTGGTTTTCTCAGCGTTGTCTCTCAGTATCGTTCTCTGTTTGACTGTATTCAGGTTACTTCACCAGATAATGAGGTTAATGTCGTATTTCTCACCATCTCTCTGTCTCTCTCTCTCATCACCAGTGTTGACTCTTATCACGGCTGTATTTATCATCATCTCAGTGTTTCGCATCATCGGTATATCTCTCACTGTGTCTCTCAATACGACCTTATCTCTCACCTTCTCTCTATCTCCCATCACCAACCACTAATATCTCTCACCACTACCTTGTTTTTCACCATATCTCTCTATCTCTCCCTCCTGGTGATCAGCGGCTAGGAAGTGTGTTTGGGTCAGAGGTGCCACTTGTGTTTGGGGCTCCTTTCATGGACGATCCTGGACACTGGAAAACCAACTTCACCCGACCTGATGCTCTAGTTTCTGAGCTCATCATGCGCTACTGGACAAATTTCGCCAAGTCGGGGTAAGTTTAATTCACGTATTGTATAATGTGATCTGATTTGAGTTTACGTTTTTAATGATGATGATGATGATGATGATGATGATTTTGATGATGATAGTAATAATATTGTTATTGATAATGCTCATGATATTTCTACTACTATTACAACGACTACTACTATCACCACTACCACATCTACTACTACAACAATTTAAGCTAAAACTCATAAATATAAAACATTAAACTAATAAAACTTAAATAAACATAACTTAAGAAAAAAATCTTACTTACATTACAAAAAACTAAACTGACTATTCTCTCCCAGCAAATTCAATAATCCCCCCGCCCCCGTTCCCCCTCCCATCCTCCCCCCTGTTCCCCTTCCCATCCTCCCCCACCAAAAAGGTCCTCACATTTTCAATTACCCGGATAAATCAGCTCACTCATTGGTCTAATTAAAAAGAAAGTTTAGTGAAGACTTTCTCTTGGATCAATGTCAAGACTAATTAGGTTAAGTGATGAGGAGACGAGGGAGTAGAAGTGATGATTATACTGTGTTTACATATGGTGAAGGAGTCTTAGGTTAGGTTAGGTTAGGTTAGGTTAGACAGACAGACAGAGTAACCCCCCCACAACTTTATCATGGACTCACCCAATAACCACTACAACACGACCCTACAAGAAGCCTGAAAAAATTATGTAATATTTTGTGTTTTTGTTTTCGCCTACAGGGATCCCAACGTACCTGATGAGATGAAGCCACTGTTAAGTTATAAAGAGAGAAGCAGACAGCGAAACATTACCTGGGAACCTTACGAGGCCATCTACGAGAAGTTCCTCGAGATAAGTAAGTTGAGTAATTAGTTATATGTCTCGAATTAGTTGTTTCGAAGCTAATTGTGAGACGTTTCAGGTGTGTTTTATGTGGTATTACTTATCTCGAAGCTAATTATGAGATGTTTTAGGGTGTTTTAAGTGGTATTAGTTATCTGAAAGCTAATTACGAACCTCTTAGAGCTTTTAAGCATGATTAGTCATCTCGAAGCGAAATACGAGACATTTCTTAGTGTGTATAATTGTAATTTGTTGTCTCGAAGCCATTTAGGAATGATTCTTATGAGAAACCATTTGCTCTAAGAACGAATTCATATTTTTAAGACTTTTCCATCTTCTCTCGTCAGCAAATCCGCTTCCCAGTAAAGGGTTTTGGCTAAGTTGCCATCTCAGTCCGCCATTTCAGCGACATTTTTCCTTTAACGACAATTATATCTTATTTTTGTATTCCCTTCGTTATTTTGTCTACTGAAACAATTATAATCTCTAAAGGTCACGTTAGCCAGAGAGAAAAACATTATCACGTTGTATTGTTTCAGAGCAGAGGATATAAAATATTCATTCGTTTGCATAAATGACCTTTTCGTTACAATATATTCAACGCTCATTACAGTATGCATGAGAGAGAGAGAGAGAGAGAGAGAGAGAGAGAGAGAGAGAGAGAGAGAGAGAGAGAGAGAGAGAGATCGTATTTATCAAGCGCTGGTAGTGAAACGTGGCTGGCTGGCACCGTAGAGTTTCACATAGCTACTCCAGGCTAGTGACCGCGCGAGGCCGAGTACTGATGTTAGTTCTACTGCATCTGCCAGCTCTATGAATACCTGTTATGTCTCATTGATTGACTGGTTGTATTACTAACTGACTGATTAAACGGTTGTATGACTAACTGATTTATATAGAAATTTATATATCTTTTAACAGTTAATTGTTGATGTACTATTGAAATAATTTTGCAAAGCGATATAGACTTCATTTGTTGAGGGGTTGTAATAACATTTTGACAACAATAACAACTACAAAAACAACAACTGACTGGTTTATTGACTGTATGGTAAACTGACTGACTCCTTGATCGTGTAAGTGGGGTAAGTAATAGGTAAGAGACTGTGGAATAAGTGATAGGTAAGTGATAGGTAATTAATAGGTAATTAATAAGTAAAAATCTTTGGTTCTCTCACGGTCTACATCGTTGCCGGTCACCAAGGCAACAAGATGTTTCAGAATAGTTCTCTTTTTCTCCCCGTAAAACTTTGATGAAAAAAACTCGAATCTAAAACTTTTCTTGCCAGCGAACTTCTCTTGTGTGTGTGTGTGTGTGTGTGTGTGTGTGTGTGTGTGTGTGTATGTATGTGTGCGTGTCGATGTATGTGTGTTTATATATTAGTGTGAGGTATTATATGTATTGTATGTGTGTCTGTATAATTAATCTCTGTTTACATCCTTCCCAGACCACATAACATCACACTCCTTAACCCTGGATATATGACCTTGACTCCCAGGTTATCGGCCGCGGCAGAAAGACCACTACAGGGCCCACAAGGTCGCCCTCTGGAACTGGCTCATCCCGGAGCTGGAGGAGGCCGGGTCCAAGTACCCAGACTCTGACGGGGAGGCCTGGCACGCCTCTGAGGACCCCAAACACTTCATTGGCCCAGTCAGACCACTTGATCCCTTCAGGTAAGACCATATGAAAGAGTGTTACAGCTTACAGTATAATACGGGACTGTAGTTTCAAGTACAGTAAACCCTCTCAATTGTGGATTTCTCAATAACGTAAAGGATACAGTTAACCCTCTCAATAACGGACTTCGCAATAATCAAACCGACAACAGTGTATCAGAAGGTTAATGTAAACTCTTTAGGACGTCGTTAACCGTAACAAGTGGCGAAGGTGAAGGTGAGGTAAGTTAGTCTCCCTCAAGTGACACTCAAGCGCATGATACTTCCTCACACTCAAACACTATTAATGGTCTACTATCTGGGCCTCCTTGTGTGATCTTCAGGTGAGATGTACACTGAGGTGTCTCTCACCTCAGCCAAGTCTCTTTAAATAAAACTAATCGTATCTGAAGGGCGGAACTCTTGGAATATTTATGACTATTGATCACCGAGTAGCTCACACACACACCGAGACGATCACACACACTTACTGGTAAACATCGTGGTTATGTGCACCTACTACAGTTATTGGAGGAAAGAAGGCAAGTATGTCAGACCTCTCACCACTCACTCAAGATAGCGGCGCTTGGAGGAGGACCTTGGCACTGTGTTGTGTCCTTTGTTTACACCTGTACAATACACCCAGTTAGACAGTTAATATATTGACAAGTAGATAGTATGTTAGCAGCGAGACATGAAGTATAATGTGTCATCATACATGGTAAACACTAAGGTTCTCCCTCCCCCTCCCCCCCCCAGGTTCCTTCACACAACGCACGTGACGGCGACATCAGCGGGGCCCGCCCTGCCCACGCCCAGCGACGAGTACCTCCCACCTAACGTGAGTGCTGCTCACGGCAGCGTCAACCGCCCCGTCAACGCCTCCGCAGAGGTGGCTCCCACCGGCCAGTTCCTGGACTACACCACAGCCCTTACCCTCACCGTGGCCATCGGTCTCTCGCTCCTGGTGCTCAACGCTATACTCTTCGCTGCGCTCATCTATAAACGGGACAGAAATTCCATGGGACCAAAAATGAAATATGACAGTGCGTCAGTTCAGCCGCTGTGTACTGTTGACAGCGGGATGCGCTCAGTGTCTACCCACGAGGCGTTGTCTTCCCCCGTGAAGGACAGCAAGTCATCCTGCAGTGTAGACCTTCAGTGTACAGAACTACACACGTTCCCCACACCACCTGATATAGGTGACCGTAACACCGAGGTCACCTTCCACACCAGCAACTCCATGCATTCTCTTCTCTCTCAGCCCACCAGCCAGTTCATTCCGCCCCCGCCCCTCTTGGCCACGACGCCGCCCACCCCGCCCGTAACCGGCCAGCACGGTGAGGGCGGCCTGGAGTCTGGGGCGTGTGGGGGAGCACGGTGCTATTCAGAGGTCAACAATGGCCAGTATCCAGAATTGAGTGGCGGGCAGTACTCGCCTGACGTAGGACAGTACACCTCAGATATGAAAAGCGGACACTACCCAGAGATAACCCTGGACCAGTACAGGAGTTCAGGGGGCGGAGGTCAGTGTGTGGAGTCAAGCATATCCGTTTATCCAGCCACGTCCACCTCTTCGTGCCCCTACCCGCCTCAACACTCCCAGTACTGCTCCCACTACCCCGGTAGCGTTAGCCAATACTCCTCCTCCACTGACCAGTACTCCGTTTCTGGGAGTCAGTTCTCCAGCCCGGGAGCACCGTGCACCACCTCCACGTGTCAGTTCTCGGAGCCCGGGGTACAGTGTCTCCCTCAGTCCTCCTACAGTGACGACGGGCAGGAGATGATGGCGCCCAGGACTAACATACGTAGTGCAACGCTGCAGAGGGGTTCATCGTCCTCCTCGTCCTCGTCATCTAGGAAGCCTCAACCACCACCCCGCGGCTCGACACTCCCCTCCTACGCCACACTTCCTAGACATAGCTCCAAGGATTCACTCTCTCACATCAACGCATAACGCCACCACCACCACACACCACTAAGCTAAGGACCTGCTACTCATCGTCTGTTCATTAAGGGATAAAAACAAAAATATATACTTCAACTGACGCTCAAGTACGATAGAGAGAACACGGGTGACGGGTTACATGTACATAGTGATGGATCTTAACGCAATAGAGTAGTGTTGTTGTTCCCAGGCGACTGATAGTGAGGAGTGGGAGGTGGTGAGACGGCGAGGCGAGGCTGTGGTGGAGAGGATGAGGAGCGGCGATGGTGCTAACAAGTGAACAATTGACACTGTGTCACCCTCGCCAAGTGTTGTGTACAGACAACTATGATTTTAAACGACTATTCTTATATCAACAGTGTGTGTGTGTGTGTGTGTGTGTGTGTGTGTGTACCATTCAGTTCTCCATCACATAAGTCTCACCTGTTCTCTACGAGTTACCCAAAAGTCACCAAGTTTATTAAGAATTCGTGTCAGAGACTGGCGGGGGGCGCGAGGTGCCCTTCACAGCCTATCGTGTATTTATCTGCTGTTATCGGTATGAATTTTTTCCATTTATTTTTTATGCTTATACTGATATAATTCCAGGTCATTATAGGCACAAGGTCATTATAGGCACAAGGTCATTATAGGCACATTTTGGGTGGACTATAATTCCTAGATTTTAGATACGCGGTTACTCATTTTCTCGTACGTGTTGGGTGTCAAGGAACAAATTAACCAAAATATAGAAACTTTTTTTTTCTATATTCCGGAAGGTCAGTATTCGTTCCTAGCTGTCGTTTCATTTACCGATTTATGGACGAATGCTGTGATTGGGTTAATGCACGTTCAGTTAGCTTTGTATTTTCACCAGCACCTTCTCGTGGCCACACCTCTCTACCTCTGTATTATCACCACGACTCACTAACTCTCAGACCTGGATCCGGAACCTAACCAAACCTAACATACTTTTAACCTATCTCTAACCAAATCAAACCTAACCTAATCTAACATACCTCTAACCTAACCTAACCTAACCTAACCTAATCTAACATACCTCTAACCTAACCTACCTAACAAAACATAACATAACAGTACATAACAAATAAACCTAACCTAACCTAACCTAACCTAACCTAACCTAACCTAATCCTACCTCTAATCTAACCCACATACTATTCCTGTTCCAGATCTGAATCCGGGAATTAGTTTGGTTCATATTTTTTGTGATTTTCAATTTAATCTCACGAGGAAGGAGACGTCAGGTGTATTGATTGTTTAGTAATATATCAGAGGAACCAGTGAACAGCCTTGTACTGACCTGATCCAACAATGGGTTAGCTCTACCGACGCCGCCTGTCACTGAACAACATGGTGACAACAGCTCATGAGTCGTATATTGAATGATGTTAGATATATACCACGACCATCACCACGTCCTAGTCCTTATGTCTAAAAATTATCTCTGTTCTTTAGATAGATTAATTTAGCGTTAACATAATCAAAATAATTAAGACATACTCAGACATACTAAGACATGCACAGACAATCTCAGACATGCTAAGCCATACTCAGACATACAGTCATATAACTCTACACTGATAAATGATAAACGTCCATAACATCTTTAAGTATACATAAGGAATACTGACAGGAAATTGGAGTGTTGTTGACAGGTGTGTGAGTGACGGAGATAAGGCTCAGTATAAGACGGTTCACGCTACAGGTACCCAAGAGCCGCCAGGTCACCAGGATGGAGTCTGGCTCACCTGTTAGTTACCTGCCGGTGATGATGATGTAATAGTTTGCATGTACTTCTCTCACTCCATGTTTTGTACTGACAGCCTTCCATACCTCCATCAGCGCCTGTCTAGTGTTCCATTCATACTGTAACATTCATACACGTAAACTATTGTTTGATATCTCGCTTCATAGCACATAACCAACGAGGATACTTTGTGTGTTTAATGTCTTCTTGTATATTTTTCATTTGAATATCAATCAAATAATTGTCTTGTGGGTCACAAGGCGTGAGTGTAGTGTAGCGTCACCACTTGAGGGTGGATGACACGAGGGAAGGCCAGACAGCGCAGCGGTCACCCTGCGGCCGCCACCATCCTTGCCATCACTGTCAATAACTGTTTCATGTGTACATATTGTTCTCCTTTATTACAGAGGAAAATGGCAAGTTTGTGGTTCACTTTAAGAAGCTTTGTACAGAGGCGACTCTAACGTCAACACGGGACGCCCACCTAATGACACAGATTAATTATGTTGTCGAAAATGATGTACTTTGTGAGTTTTTCCTGGCGATGGTGTATACATTTTGGTATTGTCTTAGAGCACTCTCTTACACACCGCCTCTTTGTCTGTACAGACAATGGGGGAAGTTATGACGCATTACATACACGGAAAACAAACACTCCTCGCCGGGAGGTTAAGAACAGTGCATCAGGGACCCGTCTCTCTGTGGTCAACGTGTTAACTATCTCACACTCACAAGTTACCAGCAGAGGACCCGTGTCCTCACCACCAAGAGACTTGCTGCTGCATTACGACAATAAAACAAGTAATAAGAAACATTATTACACTAAGTCCCACGACCTGTCTGGTGAAGATGTACAGTTGTAGCCAAAAGAACTGATGACCCACGACCATCAAGTGTTAGTGAGTGAGGTCACGTCGTACAGTGATCAGTGCTGAAATAAAATCATCATAAACATGTCTGAAAAACCATTATTTTTTCAGCTGTCAAGAAGCACTCTAACTCATCCTAACCTGATCAAAAGATTCCTAGCCAGGGTGGTTAGGTTAGGCTAGATTTGGCTAAAATTTGGTCATATTTTTTCAACACTTAACATCTCAGCGACAATCGTCATCAACCTTTACGTGCCGAGAGGAACTTTTCTTCAGATGACGATAGAAAAAAAAGAATAATATTTCCCCCCAGAGATCACGGAGCTGCACACGTACAGACATCATCAACCAGATACGTTTAAATAAAAATCAAAGCAATTTTTTCCTATAGGGAACTACTTCACCTAGAGATAAGTTCTTTGTTGTTGTTGTTTTGTTCCGCGAGAGAAGAGACGAGCGACCGGGGTGTTTCTATTAACGTGTGGTGGATGACTCGCGGATATTTCTCATGTGGATGACTCGCGCGGATATTTCTCATAATCCTCACATCCACACAAGAACAATATGTGGATATATGGTAAAGTTTCAAAACTCCCGACAATACAGCCATTACTGGAAGCAGCAGGCCAGTCATTGTCACATACAGGCCTTGGCCAGTCAACGTCACATACAGGCCATGGCCAGTCAACGTCACATACAGGCCATGGCCAGTCAACGTCACATACAGGCCATGGCCAGTCAACGTCACATACAGGCCATGGCCAGTCAACGTCACATACAGGCCTTGGCCAGTTAGACAAACAGGCCATGGCCAGGAGATTCCACTGTTGCTCAAAGTCTACTTAATATTAACGTAAACAGGTAATTAACAGTATTATATCACCTAAGACCAAAAAATGAGTTAATATGAGATCCTGTAACAGTTAATATAGATCCTGTAACAGTTAATATGAGATCCTGTAACAGTTAATATAAGATCCTGTAACAAAGTTAAATAAGTGAGATCCTGCAAATAGTTGGATATGAGATCCTGTAACAGTTAATATAAGATCCTGTAACAGTTATGAGATCCTGTAACAGTTAATATAAGATCCTGTAACAGTTAATATGAGATCCTGTTATAGTTATGTAATATCAACAACATATCCCTGTTTATGAAGACTTGTGACTGGTGCAGGAGGGAAGCTGTTGGTCACGTCTGTGTAACTGTTTGGTGCTGTATGATGGTGTGTCTGGGTGTCTGTCTGTACCTGAGTCTGTACATCACTAAACAAAAACATAGACTTTTTTATCAGCATCAGAGTTAAGTTTACTGGTGGTCTAAGTACAGTGATATCTCTCTTTAACGGACTATATGTGGAGAGGAGAGTCCGTTATGAAACCTCCATTTAACGAACTATATAGAGATGAAAGATCATTATATCAAGGGTCCGATAGATGTGAAACCTCCATCTAACGGATTATATAGCGAGAGAGGATTCCGTTATGTAGAGGTAGCACTGTGCATAGATTGTCTTAACCTCCAGCGAGTCTTCAGGTGTAACTTATACCTGTAATTACCTGTAATATTTACCTGTAATACATAATTGTTCGTGTTCTGTTACCTGTCATGTGTATCGGTAACTCACAAGTCTCACTTAAGATACTGAAATGTTCTAACAAACTAATAAACTGTTTTGAGTAAATAATCTTTGAAAATAAAACACAGGTATAATGATCTTGAGTATTAATTAAAAGATTCAGGTAAGTAAGTCTTCAGGTTATGTCTAAAGTGTTTTAAAAGATGACCAGGTAGATAATTATTTTGTTTACTTATATACTGTTCATTAATGTTATTTAATAATTATTGTATTTTATTTTAACTAAAGTACAATTAAGTTATTAAAGATGTTTGCTTATATGTAATGATTTTCTTTGAGAGATAAATTACGTAAGATTTATGAAGTAATGTTAAATTTATGTTTTTTTTTCACTAATGTTTAATGAAGTCACTATGTTATGTGTCCACTACGTCAATATGTCACTGAGGATGAAAAGGTTTTAGAAATAGATAAATTATATGAAAATTTTGTCACCTTGACATCTATTATCTGAAGCAGTGTGTGTGTGTGTGTGTGTGTGTGTGTGTGTGTGTGTGTGTGAATATGTATGTATGTATGTGTGTATGTTCCCGTGACTGCTGCTGCTCCCACTATAAATACCAGATGTTCTCCCCCACACTGTTCAGTCACCACGCGGCCAGGGAGAGGTACAGTACTCCGGCGGCTGCTCTAAGTTAGGTATCTGCTCAAACCCACCGCGTCAACCACCAAGTACCAATCATCTACATAAATATATCTACTTTATCTCGGAGTTTTGAAGGACTTTACAGCGATGTATGAAGTATGATGTACCATCTTTTATGTAATAAAGTTTACATAAAATAACTTGTGACTTTGATTTAACACACAGAGTCAGGAATCTTTTCCGCCTGGCCGCCTTAACTGACACGTCATCTCAGGAGTATTAGTCGGGCTGAAATTGAAGGAATATTTCCCTCAGTAATACTCCTCTCACAGATACTAAGGAGGGAAGGGACTAATATTCCTTATAAATATTACTCTGACAAGACTAATTAGGGTGAATATGGTCCACTTAACGAATGATTTTTCATCTCTATTATACAAAGTTGCTGCATATAACACTGACTAACACACACTTTCTACCTCTGACCTCTCACACACACACACACACACACACACACACACACACATTATCAAGCCACACACACACACACAACCAGAGCAACACCAATAACCCCAGCGCCGTAAGAGCCAAGCATAGACAAAAAATATATATTCCTGTGAGGATTTACAAGTTTTATTAATATTTTATAATTAAGTCTAATACCGTCAATTATGGTAATTACTGTCAACAATTATTAATAATTATAGCAATTATGAACTTGCTTTATAAATTTATAAAAATATATACCAACATTGAGAAAAGTTTGTGATGTTTATAATAACCTGAAGGACGATGAATATTACCTTCATTATTATCCTACATGAAGACTATATTAAGCTGCATACATAATCAGTTTTAAGTTGGGATTGTGTGTTTTTATAGTAACCAGGCCTGTCTGTTGTTTGGTCTGACATATTTAAGCTTCGTCTGGTCTTTTACGCCCTGACCTCTGAGAACCTGTTGACAACGTGTTATTACAGGTTGTCAGGTGTGTTGGAGCTTACCTGCAGGTCACGTTAAGGTAGGATGATAAACTAATGCTTGCACACCCACAGGTAATGTTTACTGTCTCTACTATGAGATTAACAAACATTTTAATGGGATCAGGTCTATTAGATCCAGGGACCATTAAGACCATCTGACCTGTAATTGAGTTCCTTGACAATCATCCACCATTTATACACCAT